CAAATCCGGCACCATGCTCTTGTTGTCTTTTGGAACAGCCCCGAGCTCAAAAATACGCCCTTAAAGGGGCGCGTCCGGGACGTTTTGGGAAAGACGGGGCGGGGCGGGCCGGGGCCCCTGGGGGGGGGGCAAGGGGGGGCGGGGGCGCCCCCCGGAAAGGAGGGGTGCCTTCCCCGGGGGGGCCGGGGGGGCGTTTGGGTGGTTCGTGGTTGGGGTGGGTTTTAAATCATGAATGTTGTTGGGAGACATCGAGCCGGGCACCCACGCCCCCAGGGTTAGGGTGGAATATTCATGATCCCGGTTCCCCCTAAATAAAAATACATTCCGTCAGCTGCTTGGGAGATTCTGGGGGAGTTGGCCTGGCAACAAGCCGGCAAATTGGTACTGAGGTTAAAAACCTTGGCTTTTGCTAAATAAACTTTACAGCGTACGTTCAGGGTTGCAGTGCATATATACACCTATGCGCAGGGCACCACTCATTTTCGAAGAGACGATATTTCCTAAAATCGTATTTTTCAAAATCCGTTTTAAAAGTTTGGAAAAATCCGTTCAAAAAGAATTAAAACCTTTTCATCGCTGTTTTTTGTGCCCTTTGTGCCACTATCGTAGCTGGGAAATTTTCTTTTAAACGGCTTTTGAAAAAGCTACTTTCCGAAAAGTTAATGTCATCAATACGATTTTCGAAAATATGGCTTTAATATTTAAATATAATCTCTATCTATCTAAATATAAATATCTTTAAAATAGTCTCTACGTAGGTAGGTGTACACGCTACCATATAGAGCCAGTACCTGAACGCGCGATTTAGTGAGTCCATGCCAGTAAGACAAGGTATACTACGAAAACTTCCGCATCCAAAGAAGCCCCCAAAGCTCACACCTCGCCAAATACCCGCGAGAAAGTCCTTATTTATCTTGCCGCCCTCCCCATATTAACTCCAACATTTTCAGCTAGCCTCGAAGAGGACACGAAGGTCTTCCGCCGGGTGGAGGGCATCACGCTGACATGGTAATCCTCGGAAGATTGTCGCAATTCGGGTCGGGCGCCCCTTGGGAAAAGCAAAAAGCCCCAGCAAAACCCGCTCCTCGCTCCCACCACATGCCACAGGGCCCAAAAAGCCATTTTGGGCAGGGAAGGCCAAGTAGGCGTGAGAACGGCGCGAGATAATTGGACAAGTTTATGGGGGCCGAGGTGTCGCCGGGAGCTGCGAAAAGAAAGTAAAAAATAAAGCGAACGCCTGGGGGAAGTAGGGGAATAGGGAGAAACCCGAATGAAACGTTAGGCGCTTTCCGTTTAGCGGGGGGGGGCGTTAGCCAGTCATCCGTACGGTCCTATAATCAATATAATAAATAATAAATAAATTTCCTATTGTGTCTATAAACGCTCATAAAAAATTCTAACAATTTGCGAAATCTTTTGGCTTTTTGATTAAAAATGTATAAAAAGGCCCCAAAAAGTTGTATAAGTTTTGAAACAGTTTTTCAATAACTTAATTTAATTAATTAAATCAATTAAATGTATTACTCAATAATAACAAAATGAGATTAAATAGTTACAGACAATTTCCCAGCAACCAAAGACTCCTTCCGCTTTCAGGGTAGAAGTACTCGTCGTCGTCACCCTCTATATCACAGCCATGGTGTCACTGCTACTCATCTTCGAACTGATCAAGCCATCACTCTACCTTTTCTAGCCTTTTAAACTCGCCCTTTCCCCCTCTCTAACATCTCTCATCTATTCACTTTTAACGGGTCAACCGGATCTAGAGCCACTCTACTCCGTCAATTACCGTAGGCCATTCCGTAGTAATCCACTATACACCCTACAAATCATTACACACAACGTTAGCTATCCGGGTCAATGTAAATGCCTTTGCAAATCCCTATGTGTTAGAGTTCTTTGCGCATTACTAATAAAGAATTCTACAGTTCATGCTGCCCCCTCCGCTGATTTCACCTGTCGCACCAAATGTCAACGAGCAAATGCAAAAGGATACCGGCTGATAGTCGGGCAGCATCGAGTGGAAAAAGGCGGCGAGCAGGCTCTGCTCGGCGTGTGGGTTGTTTGCCTCTTCGCGGGTGTACCTGTAAATCAAATGTTATATAATCTCAAAACTTAAAAAACGTTTCAAAATGTTTGAAATTCGGGTTAAAAAAAACCGGCATGGTTGGCCTAAAAATTAATATTTTTAGTATTTTCTTCAATTAAAATGTGTAAGGCATTTACACTGATGAATAGTATCCCTTTTCATACCCAAAATGGGATCAGCGGTAAAATTTCTCGGCCCGAATTTCAAGTTCTTTACATTTCTAAAATGTTTTTGTCTTACAACTGTTTAACTGTGAAACGATACTAGAGTACAATAAAACACTATATTCTAATAATATTCTAATACTAGCATCTAGCGGCTAAATTGGTATAGGGAATTTGACCCCGCGATATTGAACCGGCACTGGAAATAGAACTGAGAAAATAGCACAAAGAATAAATTCTCCAAATCCATACCTTTGCCGGTTATTTTCCGGAGGTGCAGGATCGGTGAGCGAACTGATCGTGTGGTCGATGCCAATCAGGAAAGCAACCCTGCGAACGGGTGCCGGCACGCCGAGGAATACGCGATGCCTCCGAAGCCTCCACTCTTCCATCTGACGCGCAAGAGGTTGACGACGCACCGTATCCGCCGTCACTCTCTCCAGCCAGGCGAGCACATTTGGAACCTTCAAATTGATTAAAAATCTCGTGATGTATCTATCACCTTCCACAATTCGGAAGTTTGATTCACGTAGATCTTGTACAACAGTCGGACACCTTCCGGCTCTCTGAAAAGCACAGAAATCACAATATTAAAACTAATTCATACTTTTCAAACGTCGTACTGCGGAAATAGTAATTTCCCTCCATTTCGGAGCCGGCATGGATACCGAGGACGTTCCAAATCTCGGTGACGACGCCCGGGTGAGCGATGATTGCGCTTTGAAGCTAAAAGCCGGGTCCATAAAAAATTGACAATCTAAATACCAAGAAATCCGTTTCTTCTGCTGTCTCATTCAGCATAAACGCCGCGAGTGCAATGGAATACACGTAGTTCGGGAGGAGATTCAACTTCTTTGTCACCTAAGAAAGTAAACTTTACAAATTAAAGATAGTCTACTTTGAGCGGAGCGTACATCCGCTTCACCCAATCATACTGCTTGGCACGGAGGGCCAGTGTGTCGATGAGAGACAGCATGCAGAGAGGGTCTAAAACCCCTTTTTCGATAACCAGACAAAGAAACTAACCTTGTGGCTCAAGTCGATAAAGCAGCTTGCCAACGTTGAACGCCGTCTTGAAGCAACTAAATACGATTAGGAATAATTTTTGTAAAATATACCGCTTTTGCACGCAATTGAGCATATGCCGATGGAGCAAAAGGAAGAAGGCGCGGTTCTCATACACATCGTAGCTCAAGCGATGGCCCCAAGTAAAGACCTAAGCTGACGATGAGTTAATTGGAAGGCCGTAAAACCTCGAAAACAGGATGGAAGGATTGCTCGCAAAAGAAGATGCCGCGCTCTAAATACTTTCCTACTAAAAAATACCTAAAAAAATACCTATACAATCGTTACTCTGGGTCCAATCCTCTTGCATTCGGAAGACGTTAGCCATTATAAGAAGGCTGTTGAGGTGATAGGAGGTGGCTGCTAAGATCTAAAGGAAAATAACACCACTTTATCATTTTGAGCGATACCTCATTGACGAGTTCCGGATTCATTGTGCTCTCAGCAATCCAACAAAGACGTTCCGTCTTTTCGTAGTTTCTAAATGTCAAATACGAAAATTACTACACAAAAACCCACTGATTATGAGTAAATTTGAAGTATTTGACGTCAGGAATTTGATCGGCTTCTGTGTCCACCTCCATCGAAAGACCTAAGATCTTCTTATACCCGCAGAGCAGTGAATCTACCGACCAATAGAACGAGGCGGTGGCCAATTCATCTTGGCTTTCACAATCCTGCCCCAGCCAGCTTTGTGAGAGGAGCGACCGCCATCCCGAGGCGTCGCGCCCTCCTTCAGCACCTTTCCTAAAACAGAATAAAGGCTCCTTCAATCCCCGAACCGAGCGCCTTCCTCAACTCCTCGGCAGCATCGAACTGCTTCGGGTCAGGCTTGAAAAGCTCATTGAGCAGAACCGGCTCGTCCTCACCCTCCTCGTTCTCCTGTATCCGTAGCATAATAAAAATTCAGGGAAGCCCACCAAGAGTTTAGCCTCTGAAGCAAGCCTCTCGAGAAGCTGATCTTCATCTTCCTCCTCTCCATCCGATAACTTTGCCTTCGCTTTTTGCTTCTTCTTCTTGTTCCGTTTTTTCGCAGATTTTGTTACGGGAGCAGAGGTCGCTGCAGCAATCTCATTTTCTGGAAAAATGATGTTTTTATATCGCCCAATTAGAATATCATCTTCCACATTTTCGTTTTGAGGACCAACCATCACTCTTTTGTCCGCCCTCATCAGATTCATCCAAGAATTGAAAGCGATTTTGGCGAACCGGCTGGACAGGTTCCTCGTCACTCGAGCTCGCTTTTTTCTCTTTCGCCTAATCATTAGCAGTTGATAAAAAATCAGAAATTGTCAACCTTTTGCGCCTCTTTCTCTTCAAGAAGCTTTCTCAAATGCTTCGATGACATGACAAGTTACTAAATCGGCTTGTAATCTTTGCAGTGTTTCTCAATATCATGGTTCATCATCCCTGCCAGTAACGACAACTATTTATCAAGCCACGTTTTATTTACACGATGAATACCAGTAATATTCGGTCAACAAGAAGAGGCAACCGCTAATAATGGTCAATGTGGGGGCAACAAAATTCGACAAGCCAAAAACCGTTACTAACTAAAGCCTAGAAAACAACGACAAACATTTCGGGAGCATTAAAATGATAACTTCAATGAAATCGAACGCATGAGGGGTGGAAAAGTCGTCAAGAAAGACCAGGTTTTGCCGAGTCAAGGGCTCGTTTTATTTCGGGGACGGGGCTGCAGAGTAGAGCTTCGGGGGCATCCAAGCGGGGCAGAAGGGGACGATTGAAGTCTCGCCAACGAACAGCTTGCGTCCAGTCGAATTGAGTTGTATCAAGGCTAATCCATGGCCACCCACCGACGCAATGGTTTCGCCCACCTAAATAAATGTATTTTCACACTACTCCGTATCCAAAATACCTTTCGTTTTTCTGAATCGAAAACTTCGCCTCGTGGAGCGGCCTCCTCATTGCATCTGGAAAAAGATTATGTAAAAATGATGGATATGGATTACGTGAAAGGAATGATGCGTCGTCGAATGACTCCAGTATGTGCCGTACGAGCTGTCAGCTCCTGTCCAATATAGCAGCCCTTCTCAAGCGAGACACAGTGCAGGACGTCACCATTTGCCTAAAAAAATATAAAAATAAAGCAAAAAATGGCATACATGGAAAGGAAGCAGGTCGCCGAGCTCGCTTTTTCCTTCAGCCACGCCAACCGAATAACGAAGAGCTTTGTATTCCTAAATTTCTATATCCACCACCTCAAAAATTCTCACATCGAGCTTTCCATCAGATTCGTGCTTTCCGAGCAACCTGTAGCCTAGTGCCGGCGTTCTTGGATCAGGCGTTTTTGTTGGCTCAGAAGTGTAGTAGACGCTGTCCGGGCTATCTTCGATTTCCACCTAAAACCAAAATACAAAATGGACTCGACCTTCCTGTACCTGCTTTCGAAGTCTGTATTTTTCCAGCAACTTCTTGAAATCTTTCTGGTTCTTCGCTGAACACTCAACGAGTGCGCCGTCGTCATGACGGTAGATGAGCAAATCTTCAACGATACGGCCCTTCTCGTTGAGCAGGAACGAAGCCATCACTTTCTGGTCGCCCAGACGCCTAAATTGCATGATGCAAACACTGAAATATAGCAAACCTCATATCGTTGGTGACGAGATTCTGCAAAAGGGACACCGAATCGGGACCGCGGAGGGTCAGCAGTGCACGGGAGCTCAGATGGATGATTCGAGACATCGTGGAAGCCTGAAATCCTTGTAGTTGGCAACGGATGCAACCGGGGGTTACACCACAAAGATGCAAGAGGAGAAGCGAGGGGCTACGCCGGGGTACGAGTGGGGCCCGCGGCAGGCAAAGGCATTCAACGAGAATTAGAAGGGTTAAGTTTCTCAAGGAATATATAACAATTTAACTTTCAGATAACGACTTTATTCGTAGAGAATGCGTGAAAATTGGGAAAATAAAAATATTTTGTACGTTGGGTGGTTTCTTTTTGAAAAATAATTTGTTCTGTAGGACGAAAAACACCTATGTACTCTCGAGCGTCGATTGGTGTATCCTGTAGCGCTAATTTAGAATTTCCAATTATTTCTTTACATAAATAATAATTTTAAAAGCTTTTTCACATACTTTTCGGCGACTCTTCGAAGCTTGATCCAACGCACACTCACATTCCACCCCCTCATTCGCCGATTCTCTAAAGCGAAGCCCCTGAGACAACGGTCTTTGTTGGTGGGTTCTTGCCAAGATGGGCCCTTTTCGTGTACCACAAGGGGCACCCTGTGCGGCTATTTGGGGGCCCGGTGGTGCAGGGGTCACCAAAAACGACCACATGCCCCAATCGCGCGCAATGGCGTAACCATCCCACACTCACTACCCAAGCCCCAATCGATCGATCCGTTTCGGGGTGTCTTGGCACCAGTTTGAGGAGTTTTTTTAGACTTCTAAACCTTGTTTCCCTACTAAATCACCGTTTAAGCTATAACTTGTACTGCATTATATTAGTAGTTGGTATTCATTTTGAGGTATCGAGTTCGTCAATGGATTTCTCCAGCTGTTAGTATTTCCAGCTTGGATCGTATGATCGTGAAAGTTGTTGTTTCCTCCTCCTCTCACTTCCCTCGCTCCCCTCACAATGCGTGTGGTTGATCTTGATCGTCCCTAAGCGGCAGGCTATTCCTTCACAGTTGGGTGCCGCCTCGTCCTCCCTCTTTCTGAGCACGCGATTTGCATCTAAATACCCCAGATCGTCCCCACCTTGGGCGGACGCCAAGGCCTTGTCATCGATCCGTTTTTGGCATAGTTAGATCGTGTCTGATTTCTTATAGGTGATATCAAAGGCGTGCTTTTGAGCCATCGGCGTCGTAAGTTCAAACCCAGTTACCGCCGATTAGCCACGTTTTTCTTCAAAAAACACCTTCGACGAGCTCTCTAAAATCTCCACTTTTTGATTTTGAAGCTGTTTCCAAGCGCCATATAATTGCCTGCATCAGATTGTTTGTTCTCCTTATCACTCCCGCATCAACTATCCGCCTACAGCAGCTGGTTAGATTCGATTTTCCAGGCGCTCCTCAAAACGCTATGCCCTCCGGCCAGGCTCGGCCCTTCCTTAGGAGGGGCGCCGGAACCACTAGCAAGTACAAGGTATAGTGATCAAACATTTTGTAACATTTATTTCTTTTAGATTGATTACCCCGCTTTGAAGAACAAGAGAGATCCGCAGGTTTTAGAGGATGAAATGAAGCGACCGGAGGTTGATTTTGATTAGATACTTGAAAATATACCCTTTTAGATGCACTACGCCTCTTCTCCCGTGCGACAGAGAGGCACGACGACGATTCACGAGGAGGTTCGTATAATTTTCCAGACAAATGGCGTTTTTTTGTAGGGCAGCCTGAAGTACAACGATGCGCCGCGACCGATGAGCTCACAGGGTAGGTCTTGTTCCTTTTAATTCTGGGCTATAATTTAAATGTTATTTTGAGTGTTTTGGATTTTTTCGTGGAATTTTATATTTGTTTAGGAGCCGGCAAAACGGACAGCGGACGCGGAAGTCGTGAGGGCACCACGCCGGACGAGAATTTGAACCCGGCTGCTGATCATCATAGTCCTGGAAGGCTTTTCGGAACACCGGAATATGTAAGAATTTTTGTTTAGCTTTCAATGAAGAGAATTTTTCACCCTTGCTATTTTTGCATTTTTTTTCTTTAGCCGCCGTTTCAACTACCCTCACCTCGAGCCAACGATTCTGGGCTTTCCAATTCTGTGCTCGACACGCCCGAAGCGAACACCCCGTTATTGCCAAAGGTACCTACTAAAATCTCGGATTTATCCTTGTTTATAGCATCGCGAAATGGTCCTGGATCCGGATGACACCGGGACAGTGTCACCGACGGCACGAAAGGAACGAGTGGTCAGCTTGAACCTTGTTGAGCCGCCGGTCCTAAGGCCAGGTTAGATCTTTGCCAGATTAAAAGATTCGATTTTACAGTAGAAGACGATGCAAAGACGGTGGCCTCTTCTACATCGCAGCCCGTCTCTTCGCTGGGCACCAATCGTTCGGAACGGGTGCGAGATCTACGCAAGTTGGGCAAAGAGGCTGGCCGAGAAATTGTTAGTATTGATTTTTTCAGTTTTTGGTGGAATTTTTCGATTTTACAGTCTTCTTTCAGAGAGGCTTGCAAGACGCGCTTGATGGTCGGACTAGTACGCTGAATGGCGTCTCTGAAATTACGGAATATGACGATGCTGGGAGGTAGTAGAGTTTATGTTATTATCTCCATTTTTCGATTTTCCAGTGTCCCATCAACGATCCCTGGGCCCTCTCGAATCTCTGTCCCAACCTACCGCGCCCCAACCGAGGACTCGAATTATTTGCAGCGGAATTTTGGTGGGTTTACGGCGGGTGCTTTGCTAATGCTTTTAGGAAGTGGTTATCGCCCTTTCGCGGATCTGGTGCCGCTTGCTGGTCAGGTGGGAATTTATGTATTAATGTAATGCCGTGTTCTTTAGTCCGTCAGATCCTCTATCGCCAATGCTCTGCCCTCCCAAGCCACCAGAAAGCCACCGCCTCTACAATCGAGAAAGAATCAGGTAAACGAATTGTTTACATCCTAAAACACGGTTATATTAAGGTTGATTCCGTGGATTTTCGCTCTTTGGGGGCGCCAAGTAGTAGCAATGGAGACGAGTATGCCAACAAGGCCAATCAGGTACTTTGCACGGGCTGATTTTGAAAAGGCTCTCATTCATACTGTCGTGGTTGGGGTTTTTCCTGAAATTCGACGTTCTGTGGACCATCCTTTACGCCAAGCTTAAATTCCTGTTTAGCTAAATTCCTACCAACTCGCTCCGCAACCAAAAACGACAGCTGCTTCCCTCGGCCGTTATGGGGATTTCCTTGCTCAGCCAAAACCGTTGCAGCGCTTGGCCGCGGATATGATGACACCGGAACCGAGAGCCAAAGGGTTAGTATAATTTACTTTTTTCAAATTCCGCTCTAGCCGCCAGCAACCGGATCTTCGACGTGCTCAACAACTCTGCGACACGATCACCAGCCTCGATTTTGCTCGCGCGGAATGGGATCGACGCCGGAAGGCGGTGAGCCTTCGCTTCGGCATTGCAATGATCATAAGACTTTTAGTGTGAGAAACGTTTCGACGCTGAATGGGCCGAACTGATCGCCGACCGCGCTGAGCTCGATGAGAGGAAGAAGGTTTTTTTTTCTCGCCTTTTCTTTCTGATTATCGCCGTTTTTTAGGAGTTTGAAGAGCGGATGCAGCGCGAGACTTCCAACTTTGAGAAGCTGAAAAAGGCTCAGAATCGTGGCGCCAACGAGAAGGACAAGGAGCGCGATCGCCAGGTATATTTATCATTTTGTGATTGATTTGACTATCTATCTACTCTTCAGCTGGACGACGCGAAGCAGCAGAACGCCAAGCTATTCTCGCAGAAGACGGATATCCAGAATCGGCTGAAGAAACGGGACGCGGAACTGGAGGCTGAAAAGGCGGCACGGGAGACAGAACGCGATAGAGCTACCCGGTTACAAGGACGCGTCGAACACTTGCAGGTATTTTTTAATACGGATTTAAATTTAAGCTTCTTTATTTACAGCAAGAAGTGGCACAACTGCGCGGTCGTGTAGCTACCGGACGAGCGGTTGAAGACAGGACTGTGGCTGCAAATGCACGCGACATGCCGAGGCAGCAGTTGCAGATGCGGAAGAGCTATGGATCGGGCGCGGATAGCGGCTTCGGATCAACTCAATCCCTGGGCTCGGTCGCACATCGAAGACCGTTGAGCGGAAAGAATGTCCACTGGTCTGACCATAACCCCATCCAGCCCACCGCTCCTCCGCTGCCAACGATGCCCTCCACGTCGTTTGATCCGGAAAATATGGTAAGAAAATGTTTGCGTTAATTTACACCATTTATTTAGTCTTACTTCGAAACAACCGATGGCCGTTTCGGAAAAGTGCGCACGTTCGTATCTGGACATTGGACAAAGGTTCGCAGACTTATATATAAAAATTGTTTCGTTTCAGGAAACTACCACTCCGTGTGGCTGCAAATTCTACGAATACCACAACGGCGACCGTTACTGGAAAGGTTGTGGAATTACGGTAATTTCGAGCGCCCGTTTTCAACCGTTTTGCAGGTCTATTATTTCTTGGAACGTGGCGCCACAGAGGTGGCCCTAGCTAACGGAACTGTCATGCGCCACTATGTGGATGAACAAGTACGGAATTGCAGAGGTTAAAAAATGTTGCTTTCAGTTCGAAATCTTCCGTACTAATGGCGAAATGACATTGATTCGGCCGGATGGGACTCGCACGGAGATGAAGCGTCGTCAGAATGGGACATTTGGGACGGAAAGGTAAGTATTGTCATACATGCTTCATAAATTTCTTTAGTTATGCCCTTGCGCGGGACCCCAGTCGTTCTACGTTCAATGGACGAAGGTATGTTGAATTTTCAGTTGCCTATATTGATAATTTCAGGCCCTTGAACCTGCACGTGGCCGAATGTGACGCGTGGATTTGGTATGACGAAGGGAATGTCAAAATTAACATTGACTCTTCACGACTTCAGGTAACTAGGCTTTTTTACCAAAAACCTCTCTTTTTAGATCCAACTTCTTGCCGCCGATGATGCCGGCACAATCAAGCACATCCAAATGAATGGCGACCGAAAGGAGAAGCACCAGTGCGTCGAGTGGAGTGCGAAGGCGCGTCGCGAGGCTCGACTCCGAGCCGCAATGATCTGATTTGTTCGTCTTTGTATCTGAGATTTTTATGTGTGCTCCCCCTTTAGACAGCCCCAGGCATTTCCAACTTATTTTACTGAATAGCTCAGCCATCATCCGCTCACCCTATCACTTTCTTGCCCTGTTTGGATCTCGATAAAATTATTGCTTGCAGTTTTGCGTTTCAAAAACTCTTCGTATATTTTTATTCGAACGATATATCCGGGGGTGAAGTGCTTGTTGTAAATAACACACACACATGGGGGTAGAGGAGGAGTAGGGGGACAATGATGAGCCACGCGAGACCATTATGAGAGGGAACCGTAGTGAGGCTTGTATTCACCCAGGAGGGGAGGATAGATGGGGGATGACAGTGGGCTTGGTGGCTCAGATCTTCGGCCAGAAGTTGAAGCCAAAAAGTCTACAAGAACCAAGCAACCGTCAATGGCTTCGTTCGGCTGATATGATCACGAGGAGCATATATCGGACATGGAGGCCCAGGGTAAATCCAGAATATCTGAATTACAAAAGGCTGGTAAGGGGAACCTGGGGACATTGATTCGACCTGAGGCACCGTTTCTAATTTCGATAAAATTTCGGTTGTTGATGGGCACGAGATCCGGGGGAATAGGGGGGTATGTATCGCTTATTAGAAATGGGAGGCAACTTTAAAAAACCGGTATGTATAGGGCCAGGACAAAGCTGTAATGGGGAACATGATATTATGGTTCGCATCTCAAAAAAACAATTGGACGATTAAAGAGGTCGGCTTGACAGGCTGGTATTTGTTGTATGATAGTAATCATAGCAACGCTGAGGCCAACCGCCCACCATAAGTTCAAAAAACATACAAACGACAAAATCCTAGGCAACAGACAGCTCCTCAGCCTTCACTTCCTTCATCTGCGGGCTGTCGGCAATTTGGAGGGGAGCTGAAGAAGGAGCAGAATCGCCCGACTGTGGCGACACCACCGGAGATCGTCCCGTTGCCTCAGCACCCAACGACGATGGCCGCGTACTCGGCGGCTGAGCGCTCAGCGTGGCCTTCTGAAAATTATTGGTTTACAAAAGTTTAGGATTCTAAACAGCCAAACCCTTGTCGAAAAATTCTAGAATAGCGACTCGACAACTCTTGAAATCTAAGTTTCTTTGCAGAATGGAAAGAAAGTCAAGTAAAAGGAATAGTAGTCGGTTAGATGGTCATGGCAAAACAACGTTTCCAGTTGTCGAGTCTCGAAAAGCTACAGAAATGGACAGGACAGCAATCAATTTATCGTCTGCATAAACACTGGTGGAGTAAGACTAGCCATTTCGCGGGGTGACGTCTGCGGCTGGCTGGAGAGGGGCGTCCGGGAGCCGGTGGATTGTGTTCGCGAAGGGGTTGACACTTGAACGTTCAGGGAAGTTGGGGCTGCTGAAATAGCAACACCATTTTAAAGAGATTCTGCGGAGGTTTCAATTTTATTCAATTTTTTTATTTCCACAGGAAGATCAAGGTCACTAGTTCGTTCCAGCACAATCCCTTTAAAATCAAGCAATGTAAACCTGCGCTTACCCATCGCTCCCAGTCCAGGCATTCCAGGTAACATGGGATGGGCGAATTGCGGCATGCCGGGCAACCCGAATTGACTCATCATCAACTGTTGGAAACCTGAAAGGAGGTTTGATTAAAAAATGAATAGGACCTATTTACCTGGCGGCATCTGTGGCATTTGAGGCATCCCTTGGGGCATACCGTTTGGCTTGGCACCGCGTGGGCTGGCGCCCTGAGCTTGGGCCATCAGACCTCGCCTGAAAATGGAGGATTATTTAGAAACCACAAGGAGAAGAACAGATATTCAGAAATATATCTGTGCCAAGAAACATTCTTTTTTTACAAGGAGCTCCTAGTCTTCCAAAAGATTTGCAGTATCGTTTCCAAAAAGAGGAAAATTCCAATTTATGTCGCGATCAAAAGGAACAGTTACTACTTTCTATCAGAGCTGAAGCCTAAAAAAACTAATAATACTCACCCCATGCCCAATAACTGTGCTGCCTGCGCTGCTTGGGCCTGTGCTTGCTGGCTCATCAACATCTGGGCCATCAGATGCTGCTCGAGCGGGTTCATCTGCGGTTGGGGCATTTGTCGAAGCTTCTCCACTTGCATCAGCTCTTGCATCTGAAAAAAGAATATAATTAGGTTTCCAAAGGCGAAAGTTCTGGAACCTGAGAAAAACTTACGACAGCCATCTGCTGCTGCTGTGGCAACATCGGCATGTAATCAGCGATGATTTTTTGAAGGCGTTGCGCTGTAATAAAACACTATATAAAAGAAAGAAGACAACAACGATGGGTCGAGACAAAACTTACAGATTTCATTGATCCGTGATAGTTCCGTCACCGCTTCTTGGTATTGTGCCTGGTGTTGCCGCATCATCGTCACTTCCTAAAAAGTAAATAGAAAAGTAAGCAAAAGAAATAAAATAAAAAGTATAGAATAGCCATAATCAGTGCGGTAGATTTTCGGAATTCACATATGGCTAAAATAAATGCGAACCTCTGTCATACGAGCCAACTCATTCTTCTGGTGTTGGAGCTGGTTGACGGAGGAGAGGTAGTCTTTTCTGATTGCCTCGAGATGCTCTTGGAGCTGGGCGGCAGACATAGCGCTCCTGGAAAAGAAAAGTAATATTTGGTTATTAAAACAAAGAGGAACATGAGAACATGGAGGACAAGAATGTCGTTGTACAAGAATTCATTGCGCCATCCAAATAGCACAAGAAATATGAGTAAATCCTTAGTAAGCAGCTTTGAGAAATTCATACCTAAAATGCGTTGAAGAAAGCGAAAATTGACCAATAGGCCGTGAAAAGGCCCAGAACCAGGCGGAAATTGGGTCCGCGCCAGGGGTCATCTCCAGCCTGCAGCGGATAGGCCGGCGGGCAAATAGGCGGGACGAGGCCCAAATCCGGAGGGGCAACGATAAGATAAACCGATTTGGCGGCTCACCGGCCAAACATGCGCACACATTTGGGCCCCATCCCCCCGGCCTAGTTGTGCCCTGCTTATTTTCGCCTTTGTCTCTATTTGCCAACGATTCTCCCCCCAGGATTAGTGCGTGCGCGCTCGATATGACTGCGCGCCGCTCTTTTGAAGATGTTGTCTATCAAGTTTTGTGCACTTTGGCGGGTTTTTTTAATCGGATCTGGCGAGTGAGAGTGGAGGGAGAGTTGTTGGGGGTCACGTAAAAGGGTCATTGCCGTCGAAGGGACCAATAACTGAAATAAACTTTTGCTATAAGCTATATTTATATTTGATAGAATCGCGTCTAGATAACGAATTTGGACACGCCTTCCACCGACGGCTAGAAGTATGGTAGGCTTTTTTAGTAAGTATAACTTGTAGACAACGTCAAAATAAATAAATGAAAAAGCGGAAATAGAGGGTACCCTTTTTAAAAGCTTCAGTTTGATCGCAATAAAAAAAAAGCCAAGTTGCTCCTGAAAGCGCAATAATAGCATACCATTCGAAAATAGGCCAGAGGGCGGGTGGAGGGGAGGATGACCAGCCCCGGTGAGTGCCAGGCTTATAGGCCATAATCCCAGCGGCTGAGCCCGGGCACAAATAGGATTGGAAAGCGGTGGAAGGGCGGAAAGGGGGAGAAGCACCGAAACCCACCCTCCCCCCTCACCTCCCGATGATAACGGTTTGTGCATGCTTAATGAAGTGCTAAGTGGCTTATGTCCCTTTCGGCATAGATAGCAGTTGTGGGGATTAGTCGGGGCTAAGCCGGCGGCTTCTCTTCGAGGGTGGCACAGTAGGCGACGGGGTGGACAGCCGATTTTCCGAGGCGGCTTATACCCCACGCGACGATCGGTGAGCAGGAAATTGAAATTAGGAGAAGCTGACGTCGGGTTGGGGCATGTGAGTTGCGAACGAAAACTTGGTTTAGCGGAGAAAGACAGGATATTGGAAAAATTTCCGGTTTTTAGGAAGATGCAGGTTTTCCATCAGTTATTCAGGAGTTAGCAAAAGTTACGGATTTATTTAGTTTGGGAGCGGTGACCTTGATTTCAAGTCTAGAATGACGTCAGATCTAACCGATGGGGATAAGAGGAAACTACAGCTAATTTTTAAAAAATCGGTGAAAGCACAAACCCCTTTCAACTTGAATGTTTCAAAAATGTGATCCTTAGCTTGGAAAACAGTCCTGCAAATCTAAATACAAATAAAAAGAACCCAAAACCGAAAATTTTCAACGGCACCAAACCCAGCAGATCGTTTTCAAGTGTTGAGAAACACCCGCGTGCCCGTAAAGCAATGAAAGAGAGAAAGCCAGTAAAAGGGCGGAGATTTTCCAGGCGGGGGTTAGCACGACAATAAATACTGGCGGGAAACTGAATGAAGGGGTGAAAGAGGGGTGTCAAAGAGAAAAGGGTGGATTTGACCGAGGGGGGGAAAGGGTGTCGGTCTGAAAGGAAATGGGCACTTCTCGGGCCCGGGCAGGGCAATAGATTACGCCGCCCCAGGGGAGCGCCCCCGGAGCGCGCGTAACCGAATCTTTGAGGCTGGTCTGTGGGTGTTGCCCGCGTCCGCGTAAATCGGAGGGTGCGGGAAGTTCGTAAAAGGAATTGGGTGGCTAGAATCATCGTTCCGGAGATCGTCTATATCAGGTTAAAGGTATAAAGGGAAATTTTGAGGGGAAAGGAGCCGTACTTTCGTAACCAAATTCCCTTTTCGCTTATAAGCGCAGACTGAGGCAGGCAATTTTCAGTTTAACAAGATGAATCTAGCACAACTAAACGAATTCCCACTAAAACCGAGCGAGCCAGGCAATCTGATTCCCTTTCTAAACACGAAATCTAGTCGGGTTTTGCAACTATTCGCTGCTGCCGCCGTCCGCCGTCGCCCCCGCCGATCCGATTTATTGCCCCGGGAGCGGCGGTGGCCGTAAAATATCTTATCACACGGGTCTTCTGGCAACGCGAGAGGGGTGCCTTTTTGAGGATGGGCGCGCCGAAGGGGGTGTAAACGATTTATGGCATTGCCTCGGGCGCAGCAGATCAGAGAATACGGGGGTAATTCGAGCAATTAGAGAGGGTTCAAAGGGCGGCGCTTGGGGTCCTGGATGAATTCTAAAAGTCTGGAAAGCTATTAAAAGGTGTTACCTAAGCGTAAAATTAAGCGGAAAAGGAACAGAAAACGGCTTAAGAACCAGCTAAAGCTGGGAAAGTGGAATAGCTAACGTGTCGCTTACATAATGGCGTGTCACTATGGTGGTTAAACACTTGATTCCCTGGCTGTTTATCGCATCTTCCAGCCTAAATTCCAAGCAAAATACCACCCTTAGCAAGAGGGCTAGCTAACGGTTAGGCCTTGTTATGCCTAGACCCTAAAATAGGGGTAAGACACGGGAAAATTGGTGGGCTGAAGGGAAAGAGCGAAAGAATGTGGTGCTGGCGGGGTGACGGCCACACCACCACAGGGCCAATTTTGGCGCGAAAAGTCGGCGCTGCGATGGGGGGAACGAGCAGGTTGGGGGAGGGCGCCACCAAGCCACCCTACCCATTTATTTAGCCCTGGCGAGACCTGGCCAGTCGGCAAAATTTTCTGCATTTCTGAAATGTGTACGACCTGGCCGGAACACTAAACGATTCTACGGGCTATTGGGGGAGAATGGCAGGGCTTTGTGGATTTGTAAGGGTAGAGGCAAAGCCTAGTCAAAAACTTTGGCTAAAATTCTCTGGGAAATCGGCGAGAGAAATTTTTGAGAATAAGTGAAAAACCTGCTCTCGTAAGATAGATTTTGATGTGATAGAAGATGATGCTCAGGGGATGTGACAGCGAGGAATTAATCACTGAAAGTAATGAGATACGATCCGGGGAATTACGACGATCGCATCGATTTCTAGATCCAAAGAGATAGGCACCTGTCTTGATTGGTAGGGGGATCATAAAAGGGAGGGCCCAAGGGTATGATACCTCAAATCGACTTGGCCGGAAGGGCAAATAGGTAGGGAATAGTTGCTGGATAGCCCCGGGCGATGTAAGAAAAAGCCCTCGGGGTATAGGTGTTATCTTGGATATTTTTAGGGTATGGGAATGTGCAAGTTAAGTCGAAAAACGTAAAATGCATGTCTTTCTGCGTCTTATGAGGTGACGCGCTTCCGAAACAGCAAAAGACTGGCAATTATCGAAAGAAAAGCTGTATAATTAACGGGCAACATTTTGAGTGTAAATTTCTTACTTGGAGCTACACGAACGCGTAAATGACGAAAGCGTTCAGCTGAATGCTTGCTTCAAAAGATGACGGACCAGATGGTAGCCCTAAATCAAAAGGTGAATGAGGGACGTAGACGGGCTAGCAGAAATCCTTCCGGAATCCGCTGCGGCTAAAACTAAAAACTATCTAGCAACCAGAAATACAAACTCAAAACTATAATCTATAAAATACAATATAAAAAGAATCGATTAGGCAATACATCGACGGCTTTCAGCGGCCAAACCGACCAAAACCGTTCACCCGGTAGCCCTTCAGCAAAAAAGAGAGGGCGGCCGTTCAAATCCCGGGGGCCATGGGAGGAGGGCTGAGAGTGGCTGTGTAAACAATTCACCCTCCACACCCCAGCAAGACCCATACCACCACCACCAACAGAGAGAGACACACAAAAAAAGAGAAAGAACATGAATTTTCGATGATGTGGGAGGGGGGGAGAAGGGGGAGCAGGCCATGCGGGCTTTGTGAGAACACTTTCTTACGAATATAACGGCTTTTGAAATGGTTTTGGTTCTTGTAAAGCCATTTCCTTGGTAAAGACTTTTCAATCATCTTTGTTTTTGAAAAACCCGAGGGGAAACATGGCAAAAGATACATAGAATTCCCCGGCAGCCAAACGCAATAATTCCCAGATTGCCAAAGTGCAGACAAAATAGAAAATAGATGTGTCAGAAAGAGGTTGGGCCGATAGAACGGAAATTGCCAGTTTTACGTTTGAAACCCAGTGCATGCCGCAAAAAAAAGACGTTTCGTAACCTAAAATAGGCTGAACAGATGATAATCCAGGTGTCTATGGGGCCGTCTCCCTAGAGGAAAGGCTAAAAAGAGCCGAAATTCGGCATTTACTGCTTGGCGATGGCCGTAAAGGGGTCTCTTTACGATCTCACAGAGAGCCCTTCTAGCGGCCCTTTTTCTCACAAACTAAAAAAGCTAAAGAACAGAGGGCGAGACAGAGAGAGAGACAGCCAGAAACAGAGAGAGGGAGAGGCCGATCGGGCCGTTCATTTTTTGTAGGGGCAGGGGGAATTGGCGATTGGATGGGTCGAGGCGGGAGGGCAAAAAGGGCAATAGACATTTGGCAAATGGCCAATCATGATTGATCGTGGCCGACCCTTGGAAAAGACTGGTTATCAAGCCGATTCTTTTAAAGGGACAGCGACACTAGGGTAAAGATCATTTCGTCAATTCAAAAACACCGTACCGTAGCCTTTCACCGGGGATGCCCTTTAGCAAATGGGGGCCCGAAGCCATCAGCGATGAATCACGCGAAGCGACAACATTTCGGCACGGGCCATTTGGGAAGGGCACTGGGATAGGAAAGCTATATATCTAGGGGGAGTGATGTTATATAAATAGGATTCTATATGAATATAGCCTTACAAAAGGTA